GGTGTGGTGCTGGGCCAGGGTAGATGGGGTACATGCTTATGTATCCTCATGCTGCTCCCATTCTGCCCAGCTTGTTTTGGCCCCTGTGCCCGCTGCTCAGGACCTGAGGAATCAAACTGTTTGCAATGCAAGAAGGGCTGGGCTCTGCATCACCTCAAGTGTGTAGGTAAGTGGGGCCCTATCTAGGTCTAGGGGGGATGAGCAGGGGCCTCGGTTTGGCGCCTCATTCCTTTAAGACACACATCTAGGCTCAGCACCCATAGCACAGTGGTTACAGCACCAGCCACATACACTGAGGGTGGCCGGTTTGAACACAACCCAGGCAGCTGAACAACAATGGCAACTGCAACAAAAAATAGTCGGGCATTGTGGCAGGTGCCTGTAGTTGCAGCTACTTGGAAGGCTGAGGTAAGAGAATCACTTAAGCCCAACTTAAGTTTGAGCTTGCTGTGAGCTATGATGCCACAGCTCTCCCAAGGGCAACATACTGTGTTTCCCCGAAAATAAGACCTACCCCAAAAATAAGCCCTAGCAGGATTTCTATGCATTTGTTAAATATAAGCCCTACCCCGATAATAAGACCTAGTGATGGGCGTGGCTATGCAGCATGTCTGCATAGCCACTCCATGCATTTCAGTGCAGAGAGGAAGACATCCCCTGAAAATAAGCCCTAGTGTGTCTTCGAGAGAAAAAATAAATATAAGACAATGTCTTATTTTCAGGGAAACATGGTAGTGAGACTCTGTCTCATTAAAAATAAATAAATAAATAAATAAAGACACACACCTGGTCTAGACCAATACAGTCCCTATCTTCATGGAAATCTCAACTAGGCTTTTACAGAATAGACAGACTTATGTACAGTGAGTGATGTCCCTGAACCAACTCAGTGAAGGTGCTGGTGGGGAATCAGGAAAGGCTTCTTAGAGAAGGTTGCCACTTTGGCCAGGAGGTGAAAATTGAAGAAAGGTGGGCTAGGGGAATACGGATACCAAACTTGGGGTAAGGAGACCTGGGTTCAATAGTTGGTTTAGTTCCTACCCAAGCCACTTAACTTAGACTAGGATAAAAGTTAAGCTCTGCTATAACAAAAGCTCCCCCAAAGCCTGTAGCTTGAAGACTATAGAACAGTGGTTCTCAACCTTCCTAATGCTGCGGCCCCTAGTTCCTGTGGGTCACAATCCACAGGTTGAGAACCACTGATCTAGAAGTTTATTTCTTTTCTCAATTCTCAGTCCTGAAGTGATTGGTTCCTGCTGGCAGGGAAGCTCTGCTTGTCACAATCATTCAAGAACCCAGGTTTCTCTTATCTTAATATACAATCATCCCCTTGGGCAGTGTCTCCATGGTTGAGGCTGAGTCACAAGCATCTCCATGTTCCATGTCCCAGAACTCAGGAAGTGAGGAGAAAAGGGCACATGGAGGAGGCCAAGCCCATTGTCTTAAGGCCAAGCTAAAAGCAGAGCACATCCGTGGCACCTGTGGCTCAAAGAAGTAGGGCGCCAGCCCCATATGCCAAAGGTGGCTAGTTCAAACCCAGCCCTGGCCAAAAACTGCAAAAAAAAAAAACCAAAACCAAAACAAACAGAGCACATCACTTCTATTTACATCCTGTTGGCCAGCACTGAGTCACAGGGCCATGCTTAGCTACAAGGCAGGTTGGAAAATGTAGTCTCTGGTTGGGCAGCATGAGGTCCAGTTGCCCATACCATTTTCTCCTAGGCAAGTCCATTCCCCAACAACCCTTACTTCGGCTTCCCTGTTAATTAAATAAGGATTGAAATCCCCACTCTGCTCATCTTTCTGCAGACATTGATGAATGTGGCACAGAGAGAGCCAATTGTGGGGCTGACCAGTTCTGTGTGAACACTGAAGGGTCCTATGAGTGCCGAGGTCAGTGTCTACTTCTGCAGAGGATGTGATGTGACCCATCAAGATTTCCCTTCTCGGCTCGGTGCCTATAGCTCAACCGGCTAAGGCGCCAGCCACGTACACCTAAGGTGGCGGGCCCCAGCACAGACCCGCCAAACAACAACGATGGCTGCAACCAAAAAATAGCCAGGCGTTGTGGCGGGCGCCTGTGGTCCCAGCTACTTGGGAGGTGGGGGCAGGAGACTC